AATGGAAAAATTGGTCTGTCAGAAAATTTCAGAGCAGCTTTACTCAAAATATCCTATTGTGATTTCCAGGAACCATAATCATTCAGAATACTGTTTGCTCATTCCTCAAGCACTTTTCTTTCTTTCAGTCTTGTACTATTTTCCTTGTCCTCCTCCTCCTCTCCGTGCGTCCTAGAGAGGCTCAGCGCGAGGAAAACTTGCTGAAACACGTTTCCACGTGCGCGCACTTTTGTTAACGAACAGCACAAATGCAGTGATTTATCGTGTGTTGTGCGCAGGTGGATGGAGGTCAGTCTGTAGGCCTGGTTTCACTGCCCGTTATTTTCTATGTGTTTAAGGCTGATGCTATCCTATGGCTAAATACAGCCAGCTCTATGCCTGTTCCTTGTGTCACTAGGTAACTCCTCAGAGCTGTCTGTAGACATCTCTGCATGTTTCTATAGGCACCTCTGTATCTCTGCTGGAATTGCAAGTATTAACTGTGGCCCAGGTCTCCTCTGCTGGAGGGCTGTGGCGAGTTTCCAGTGAACTCTGAGCAGCGCACGAGTCGCGCACGAGTCGTTCAGCGCAGCGGGGGCTCGGTGGGGTGCTTGGCACTATTCCAGCTGATGCGGCGCTTAGGGACTTAGCTTCTCTTCTGGACTTGAACAGCTAGTGGACTTTTCTTGGTACCACCATGCTAAAGTGAGGAGATGCTGTCCTCCTTCCAAGGAGTGGATAGTCCCCGCGCAGTTTCCAATCTGAACGTGCAAATTTAAGCTTGTGGCAGCCTGACTGGCAGCCTGACTGACCCAGCTGCATGTGTAGTGAATACATCAGGGACTTCAGGACCCTACAGAGTTTGAATTGTCTAAAGGCTTCCAGGAGGAAACTGATTTCGTTTTAGCTAGGCTGGTTTGACAGGCATCTCAGGTACATGCCACAGCATTTTCCCCCCTAAAAAGCTGGTTTGGATTTGGGTTGCTCTTTGGAGAATTTCGCTTGGAGCGTATGTTTCACCTCCAAAAATCTATTGATTTTCCTTTCTTTAAAAATTAAGTCCGTTTTAAAAAAAAAAAGAAAGAAAGAAAGAAAGAAAGAAAGAAAGAAAGCAAGCAAGCAAGCACCAAAGCCTTCTGGATGCCCAGGGAAGGAATTTGCAGTCTGCAGAACGAGCACAATCCTGACAGCAGAGAACTTGCTGGGGTTAGTGAAGACTACAGCTAGATTTTGCTTTGGGATTTTCAGCCGTGGTCCCTAATAGGGAGCTCTGAGGAAAGAGCTGTGTATGGCCATCACAGCAAGAGGTTAGAAGTCAAGCTTGTGGGTTCTTCTGGTCGATTTATTGGTCAGAGCAATAGCACACAGTCGAGAGTCCTGCTATGGTGTCCCGTCCGCCTCACACCAGAGCTGGACCAGAAAGGGGAGGGAGCCGTTTTCATGTGTTCTGCTCCTTAGTTTCCTAATTTTTTTAAGCAGTGAGATGCCTTCTAATGAAATTTGTTCTGAGAGAACAAATGTTTTAATTTTTTGTTTATTACTGTGTAGCTCAGAAACAAATTTGAGTCAAACAAACATTGCCCTTCCCGCTTAGCCTCCTGTTTCTTCCCTAACGCAGTCTATTTGCTTGTTGCTAACTAATTTTGTTTGGCAATTAAGCTAATTAATCTAGCATTTTAGCAACGGCTTCGGTCGAGGTCCCTTTTCTCCCTTTGCTGCGGTCTGAGGTGCAGTTTGTCTCCCGGTGAGAGCTGCTGCCCGATGATGGCTTTTGTTGCCGTGAGCTAAGGGTAAGAGAGGAAGGCAAGTGGAGCGAGGCGGGCGCTGCTCTTTATCTTGTCAGTAACAGCCATTGATGAAACTGTCCTTGGTCCGTTGCTCTGCATGGTTGGGGATTGTCCTAGTGCTTGCCTGACCTACTTGACTGCTGGCAGCGTCTGCCCTCTGGCTGCTCTCGCTGTGCAGCACAAGGCAGGCTGTCAGGGAGCCCGCCCAGCCGCGGGGCGCTGGGCAGTGCATGGGCTAGTACCGCGCTCAGGAGAGAGCTTCCCCTGTCAGCAGTAAATCCTGCGTGTTGGAAAGGAGCCAAATGTACAAGCCTGGCGCACAGAAATCCTCTTCCTGCTCTAACTGTTTTAAGCTTTTCATCGCATACTGCTTCAAAAGCTCCAGGGAGCTTGAATGAGACCTGGGAAGCTCCGATTGAATAAATTGGGTGGCTTTGGCAGATTTACTGAGGTGATGGGCGTGATAGGCCAGGCAGAATCTAGCATGCAAAAAAGTCACGTGTCGTCAGCACTGTGAGCTTGGTACTCACGGCATGATGTCTTCCGTGTTGAAAATGTGGATCTCGCTTATGGCAAATCCAAGTTTAAATCCTGTCTAACATCACAGATCACAGACTGCTGTGTCTTCAAAGAGGAGGGAGGAGTCTTAATGATTGTTATCTTCATGTATAACTACTGGTGATGGCTTTTGTGTGGCTTGAAGTATCCTAAGTAAACTCAGACCATGCATGCCTTTATCCAGAATATCTACTATGACTCCCCTGAGACCTGCTGTTTCTCAGCCATGTTCGTTGCATTGGTCAGTTGTCATCTCGGTTCTCTTACTTCATGTATTTTGAACTTTGCTTATTTCTGTGAAATTGTTTTGAAGTGCTGACTGTGGAAAAACGATGCTGGACTGATACAGCTTCATGTTTGATAACTGGCATCCTCTAGAGATTTTATCCTCAGCCACCCCTTTCACAGTCCGAGGGCTTACGCTCCCTTTTCTCTGCCTGGGTTGCCAAGACTGCAGCCCTCAGAGAAGGTCTGGCTAGTAAGCCGGCGTACAGAGCTCTGTCCTCAGCTTGTGGTTTGGAAATTAGTCCTCTATTCTGGCGTGAGCTCCTATGACAAGGTGTAATGGGATGAAATCGATGCTGTGTAACAGCAGAAAATCAGCGTGCATGCTCAAGCCGCCTTTGTGAAATGTAGAAAGCGCATGAGAATACTAACAGACCCAAAGTTACCAAAGTTTTCTTTCTATCAAAAAAGGAATTCCTGGTTGGCTCTTTTTGCTGTTATTGTGAATGTGATCTGGTTCCTCCTTCTAACTAAAGAGTTTTGATCCTTTCTGGTCTGAAAAGTAGTATGTATGTATATGTTCACACACAGACCTAGAAATAAAAATAGCAGGAATTGAGGAACTGCATAGACACATCCACATACATCTCTGTTATTTCTAATTACACCCATATGAAGGAGTCTTATGTCTCTGAAACTTGAAATTGCCTTTGACAAGCTTTTGACATGCATCTTCACACTGTGTAACTTGAAGCTCCAAAGATTTTTGTGTTTCTTTTCAGTTCTGGAATGTTACTTCTAGTATTTAAAGACAATTTAAGGTTTGCAAAACAGGAATGAATCTCTTTCTGTAACACAGTATACTGTCTACCTCTCTGCTTTTGGAGCTTTGATAATTAAATGTAATAGGATATTTTACCAAGAAGTCATGGGCTAGGGCCCATTTCAACTCTTGAAAGATTGCTCAGTGTTTGGCAGAAGAGTATTCTGGCACAGAGACTGTCTTTTGTTCAAGGGCATCTAGTTTCAACAATAGGAATGTACATGCAAACTAGCACTGATCAAATAGATTTCTTTTGGTGGGAACCACTGCCTCATTTTCCTCAGGCTTATTTTGGTGTGAAAGTCATGGTACTACATGGAACTAGGAAGAGAGGATTAGAAAGTTCCCACTGAAGATCCTCACAGCTTATATTCAAATTTTTGTATTTTGGGGTCAAGCTGGACTTGGTCATGTTCTTAAATATCCAATCATTATGAACAAATCCTTGTTTATGGTACAATTGATCCGTTGTAGTGACTTTCTCCAGACCTTATGTGTTTTTTCTTTCTCATCTTTAGTGATGCATAGCAATGCTGAGCACAGTTTATCACCTGCCATCCCAGACTTTGCTGCATTTCAGCAGCCGGTGAAGTGAGTTGCAAGCATGTACGGTGTGAAAGGTGTTAAGTGCTTTGGGAAATACTGGGATGAGAAACACGATAGTAAAAGACTTACTTACTTAAATGAATATACAGTCGTTCATCCTGAAGCATGTCAATTCATTTTACACCTCATATATCAACACCATTTCTTCAGTTCTTCATTCAGCCACGAAGACTGGAGGAAGGGGAGTGTTAGTGCAGGACATACAGACCATCCCACTTGTGTTTAACCCCACTAGCAGTTTATGCTTTCAGAACTGGACATATAATTGTGCATTCCAGAGTTACTTGTGTGACACTGTATGTGTGGGCAAAACAGCCTGCAGTTCGCAAACCTGCGTGCTCATGTCAGGCTTTCAGGGCGGGTATTAGTGAGCTGAACTTTACTGTTGCTGTGAAGCAGCAGAATGTTTCCACCTTTAGTGCCTTGCCCAGCTCAGGAGAAGCCAGTCTTTATGCTGCAAGAAGATGAGACTGGCTCAATAGAATCTGAACACCTGCTGCCATGGCATCTAGGGGTTAAAAACTTGCTGATTTATGTCATTCCCCTTCACTGAGGTCTGTCATGTTAGGTGTTTACTCTCACAATTAACACATGTATTTCAGTAATGGATGTACTAGCCCAGCCTATTTTCAGCAGGGTAAGAGTAAGGAAGTGTAAAGTGTTAATAGGTCTTGTAGGCTGTGAGCAAATGCCTCTTGGAAAATATTTCAGCAGTTTTCTCAGTCGCTCTACTCTGCACACCCTGGTAATACGGTGATATGCGTCCATCTGGCAAAAAGTGACCACTGCAAAGTGAACAAGATGAAAGAAGGTTTACACTGCCTTTTTTTTTCTGATTGCCGGCTTGTCCTTGGGATTTCGTAATAGCTTGAGTGATCAAGCATGACGAGATTGAAGGTTCCTTCCTTCTGCATTCGTTCCTCAAATCTGGAGTCAGTCAGAGGAGGGTAAACAGTGCCCACTTTGGATCCTGTCATGGCCACTCCTCTGACTTCTTTCCCCTCTTCCCCTTTCTTTTGTAGATGTTGATGAGTGCCAAGTTCACAATGGGGGCTGCCAGCAGAGATGCGTGAACACCCTTGGGTCCTATTACTGTGAGTGCAAGCCAGGCTTTCGTCTGCACACCGATGGCAGGACCTGCATTCGTAAGTCAAAGTTTTAGACTTCTTGAGAATCTCCGATCCTTCACAGCCGTTCTCATCCCTGGAACTGAGCAGCGTTGTGCCCAAAATGGGTTCCTTTGGCTCACCCGCTCACGTCTTTCCCTGGGAGGGGAAGTTGAGATGGTGGTGATGGGCTGCCTGTTCCTTCATCTCTCAGGAGCCTGGTAGTCTTTCTTAACATGTTTCTATTACTAGATCCATAATGTCCGCTGTTCTTCAGTGTGCAAATGTACAATGTAGGCTTCCTTGTAGTTCCTCAGCTTATTCTGGTTCAGGAAAAGCAACTTTCAGCTCACAGTGCTTTGGTGTTTCTGCTGTCACTACAGGGTGTATCAGCTACGGCATTTTCAAACTGGACACCCATAACAGCTTTTCCTATAAGCAAGGGTTCAGGTCAGTCTTCATTTTTACCTGAACTAATTTGCCATGTCTGCATGGCAGGCATTAGCTGTGATAAATAAGTGAAAGTAAGAATGACTGTGTGTGGAATTATGGCCATAGTACTCTCAGAAACCTCTTCCCTAAGACTTCAGTCATGTGTCCGCTTGGATGGTGCATATCCAGACATTATAATTCAGATGCCAGGTCTGGCTTGTAGTTCATTTCTGGGTCAATTTATTGAAATATTTTTGCCTTCCCTCCCCAGACTAGTGGCTCAGAGACGCTGGGCTGGAGCTTAATGTTTGCCTTCCAGCATCTGCTACTGCTGCTGTTTTTATTAGACCACTTCTCCCTTACAGTGTTATTTGTTTGACACATTTTTCCATTTTTTGAGGGATATATTCATACAAGTGGAAAGAATTCCAGGGTGGTGGGATTTTAAAGGCCGTTCACTGGATTTTATCAGAATATAGTCACATTCCAGAGTTTGTTAAAAATGAACGTCTAAGCATGTGTGTACCAGTTGGGAGCGGTGATGTGACCAGCAAAAAAGCAATCTAAGGAAGTGGTACACGTCATGTCCAAACACACATGTACCAAGTACAAACAGCACACCTTTCTGCAGCTTCACCTATATGCAGTGATACTCTAATGAGCTCGGTGAGACTCCCATTTAGCTGTAAGCTCACTGAGTGCTGTGTATGTCATTGGGAGAATCCAGAAGCAAAAGGATTGCAAATAAAGAAAAAAAAGCCAGTGTTTCTTTGATTGCCAGTCCACTGCTCTAGCAGTGAACATGAAGACGTGTGTCCATGGCTATGCGTTGCTACTCTTTGCATGTAAGTATATATGATCTGTCTTCTAATAATTGTTTTTATTATTATTACAGATAGTTCTGTTTTTGGCTTGTTTGCTTGTTTGTTTTGGTGGTATAGTGATTCTGTCACCTCTGACTCATAGAATAAAAGAATAGGCAAACGGAAGGAAAGGCCCAGCCATTGGGAAGCTTTGGCCTTCTCAGCAGAATCAGCCTCAGAACGTGAAAGAATTTCCAGAGAAAGTGTAAAAGGGAAGATTACATGGAGAAGTCTTTTGTTTAAAAGAAATTTCCATTTAGTTCCTGCAGCTTCATTCTTTGCTTTTGTACTTCAGGCATACCTACTGATACGAAGATGTTACGTAGAGTGTTTCTGATGGGGAGCCAGTCAGTTTTATGCAGGCGGGAGTTTCCTGCTTAGTGTTCCTTGCTCTGAGTGCTGCAAACCTGCTTCGCATTAAACATCTGAGCAAGTACTTGCCATCGTGCGCACGGCGTTGGCGTTCATCTGCCAAAATTAAGGGGATCTCTATTCATGAAATCTGATCTAACAGGGGAATAACTCAGGCATTTTCTTGAATCTCTGGGGATTGGCGCTGGCGCGATCTGCTGTTAGTTCAGCAGTGCCTGTGCCCCTGTGATCAACAAAGAACACTGGCAAGTGGATGCAGAACAGGCAGAGCGAGTGAAAACTCTTGCTAGATAATTATCCAATGCTGTTTCTAAAATAACAGCAGAGCAGACCTAAAAAAATCCTGCTTTCTCACTCCAGGACTGGTGGCTTTTGTCCTTTACACTTTTGTGACAGAAATATACATATGCGTATGTATTCATGTATATGTATTTATCTAGGTGTGTGAATATATATATATATAATATATATAGTGCCTTCATTATAGCTCTGTAATAGCCTGTTAAATCAGTTGTGTAGAGGGATGGAAGTAAACACATTTTTTCTTGTAAAAGTTCAGACTGGAACACAGAAGCAGAGGTTGTTCCCCCGTGAAACGTTTGGCATGGTGTTCACTCAGAGACATAAGGGTGGCTCACGCCATTGGTGCCCAAGTGAAATGAATGCCGCTATTTGATACTCGCTTCCTGATGGATAGCTTTGCACCCTCCTGGTCTAGATGGTGGTTTTCTTTGGCACCAGACCCCAGCAGCTGTGTCCTGTCCAGTTGCTGGCTGCGCTCGAGCAGTCACGCGCAGCAGCCTGGGCGAGAGGTGGTTGGGGTTTACAGAACTCTGAGTCGTATAACTACATGCTGTTTGTGCCTTTAAAAAAAAAAAACCCACCAAAGGAAGCACCTCATCTTGTGAAACTGGGGAGACCAAGGAAAGGATCCTTTCACTCAAGGATTATTCATTCCTCTTCATTGCCCTGGGGAGCTGGGTGGAGATTTGATGTTTGCGGCCTTTGCTGCTACTTAGCCTGATTACATGTGCAAGTCTGGCAAGTGCAAGCAGTTAGGCCAGGTGTCCTTCCGTGGGTCATTTTTAATAATCCTTGGCCCATGAACGTATGCTTTCTTTCTGGTGTTTTTTCACAAGTACATGCAAGTGGTTCATTCCTTGAGTGCTCAGTCTACATAAATATTTACATTGCAAAGTCAGAGGCTTTGCTCTGACTTGATCTTTGAAATCACATGTTTTTTATTAAACCGGCATTCTTGACAAGCGCACCAGGCCAGCTATCAAGGGGCACTGGGTAGCGTGCAGTCAACAGCAGAAAAGACAGGAGGCCTCCCTTTAGCAGTAACCTCCGTTTGCACTTTAAATTCATGTTTCAGAAGTTCTTTCCTGACACTGCTTGGGAAGAAGAAGGAATTTTCTCTTGGCTGAGCATTGAGCTTAAGGCCTGAGTTGTAACAGAAAGGCAGAACAGCGTGAGCGAGTGACAGAGAGAAGCCTGACCGCCAAGGCAAAGTGACGAGCAGCAGGCGTTTTGGGCGTACATGTAACAAAACCTTTCCAGGAGCAGATGAGCCCTTCGCTGACACAGAGGCTGGCTAAGGGCTACGTAGAAAGGTGGCACAATAGCTTCTTTGCGGGTAAAATAAGATAGTTGAACTTCTTCCTGATGATGAACTGCTTTGTAGTTATTGCATCGGTTGATACCTGTGAAGAGATTTGTTTTGCTGTACACCAATAACTAGATTTGTAGCATAACACAGGTTAGCGGTCGATACATTTGTCTGGACCAGTAACTTCTGTTGTAAGGAAGCAGACCTCAGACTGTGTATTGCCTAATCGCTGAAGGGCATTTTCTCATAGTTAAATTAGTAAGAGTTTGTGATTCTGGAGCAGGAGGATCTGAACCGTGTTTCTGCATTCCTATGAAGCTCCAGCCACTGAACTGACTTCACGGAGATGTTTTCCCTGGGTGGTTCTGTGGGATTAGGTCCACCGATACATGCTATGTGTTTCTCTTCAGTTTGGGATGTCTTCCAAGTTACTGTAAAGGTAAGATTCAATGCAGCTAAGACGCACCAAAAAAAAATGCCACTAAAGAACTTGAATCAGGTAGGAGTAAAGAGAATTAGCTATATTGAGACTCTGTTATTCCCTCCTGCTCCAGCACAGCTCTGCCCTTAGAAGCAAGGACAGCCGCTGTTGATGTCCTAAGCCAGGGTAGCAAGGAGTTCTGGAGTTTGGAGCTGGGGGGGTCAGGCATGGATATTAGCTTTAGGAAGCTGTTGGCAAACCCAGTGAGCAGTAATGCAGTGCCAGAAAGCATTCTGGAGAAAGAAAAAGGCTATTGGCATGAATTTTCTAGTTAAGATCTGTAAAGCCGTGGATCTAATTCTTTAAATGTTTTCCATTCACCACAAAACCCACTAAGGCTTCAATTAATCAGTAGTACTGCCTAAAGCGTAGGCTGTCTCCAGAATTCCGCTATGGGAGACTGACGGGCTGTTAACCCCCCAAGGTACAAAACTTATGGAAGAGCTCAAATTTTAAGGCGAATGGAATCAAGATGATGATTCCTCTTGCGTGCTTTGCCTGGACTGTTATACCAAGCTTATGATAGAAATTCAAAGCCTATTTTATTCTTGAAGGTGTTAAAGACCTGGTAAACAGATAAAATGTTTTGCTACTTTCTTTCGATGGCTCTGCTCCCTTGTAGTTATTCGCACCTTTGTACTTAGTGTTGCAGATGACAGAGCAAGGTACAATTCACAGACAAATGAGCAAAAGTTCTCAAAAGTTATTTAGGCACCTTTCAAAGCAATTTATTATGAAGTGTATTGCAGCTCAATATAAATAGCTGTCTTATATCAGCACTTAAATTTGGTAGGGGTGGCAGAAATATTTTGGTATTTAAAGCATTTTTCTTCCAGGGTGTTAGTACAGCTTTTCAAACAGATACTCTTTACAGCATAACCTCCGTTTGCCTCTATGTACAGGCTAACAGGGGGCTCTTAAATCTTCTTTGACAGTGCCTGGAGAATCCATGGCTGTCAAGGACAGCAGACTTCTACTCTCACCTTGTGCTCACACCTCAAGATAACTTCCTTTGCTACAATCACATTTGGCTCTCAGCTCCCTTTCCATCCTGTGCAGGGGAATGAAGGCTCCAGCAGTCTCACAGAGATTCCTGTGGCGCAAGGACAGAAGTAAAAGCTTCCAGCCAAGGGCAAACTTACAGGCAAACCTTAATGTTGGGATAAAGGCAGGGCTGTCAGGAACATGCCACTGGCCACAACCCAGAGATGCTGCTAAGCGTCCAAAGAGGCTGAGGCAGGTCTCTAGGGTTAACTTGTACCTGGAACCACTTTGAGAG